TGATGAATGTGGCTGCGTGGACTCGTGTGTCTGTGCCCATTTTTTTTGTTTGCCTCTCCCCCTCTCGTCCTCCTTTTGGCTGGTTGTGGGTGTTCAGCCGCAGCGCAAGCCAACGACAACTGCGAAGGAAGGAACTCATGTGAGCAATGCCTGGGAGACGCGAGGAAGGAGTTTGCGCTGCTGCGGGGGAGCCCTGCATCTGCTGCGCCGCAGGGTCGGCGTCGGTGGAGGTTGGGGCCCGCCGGCGGCACTCGGCAGCCCGCAGCGCGGCGCGGAAGGGCGGAGAAGGCACCGCCGCGGCCACAGTGAGCCCTTGACCGCACGGTGGAGGGAGTGTGCGAGTTTGTGCTCAACGCGAAGTGGAGCCACGTCTTGGGGCTTCCTGCGACTGAAGGGAGGGAAATGGCGGTGCGGACGGCGGTGGAACGGGGCCACACACCCCAACGCAGTCGGGGGCGTGCACGGTGCAGGGGACAACTCCTCCACCGCGGGACAACGTGGCGCAGCTTCGTGCACCGCGTCCCGGCCTGACGGGACTCGCCTCCGCGGAAGGCTGGCCGTGCCCGCTGATGGAGGGAGAGAACATTGCCGGCTGCTGCGTTCACCCTGCGGTGGGGGCGGGTGTGGCGGGTTGTCAAGGGCGGTTGGGATGGGGCGCGTCGCACCAAAGGACCAAAATTGTTTGGAGTGAGGCGGCGTGTCTTGATTGGGGCGCCCGGGGATGGCGGCCTCGGTGGTGGACGAGTGCCGGCCCCCACCCCCCCTCCACCGGCCGCTGCACCGCGATGAGTGCCCGCTCCACTTTGTTCTCTGCTGCCTCGGAGGCGAGTTGGCGGACGTGTTCGGCACGGCCACGCAAACGACGACAGGGCACGAGGGCGAGCTCGGGGTCCGAAGGCGTGTGAGCGACTTGTCGTGGCGGGCAAGAGGGTGTGAGTTGTCTACGATGCGCCGGAGGAAGGAGCACCGCTGCCGTGGGTAAACTCACGGCCTTGTGGGTGGGTCATGATTGCGTGTTGGCGTCCGCAAAGGGAAATAACTCGAGGGCACTGGCGATGCGACTGCATCTCTGCCTCCCCCACCATGCGCTGCCCCGACGAGGAGGAGGTGACGGCGACGTGTGCCCGGCGGACGCGCGCCATCATCCCGCGCAGGAGCAAAAGAAGTAGTGGGAGGCGGTCGCGGGTCGCACGCAGCTTGTCGGACCGCTGCCGCGTGGCATCTTCAGTGCGGCTGCGTTCAGTGGGCGCACCGCAGCGGGTGACGGCGCCTGGCAGGCGACTGACTCCCCGGTTGCCGAAGACGACTGTGCTCGGGAAGGCGAGAAACTGTGGGGTGCTGGGAATCCGTTTCGGGTGCCTGTGAAGATTGAGCGGGAGCGTGGCGCACACGGTGTGGAGGCCGTGCGGCACACAAATGTGTGTCGCCTCTTTGGATCCTCGAATGGGGGGGACGCGTTTGTGTGTGGGGTTGTGGGCCCCAGCGAGGGCCTCTCGCGGTTACGGCATGCCGCTCGCCTTCCTGAAAAGCCCCAGAAGCCGCGTGCCCCGGACCCACACACACACACACACGCTGGGGGAGGAGGGCCTTCTGCGGGAGCGGCATAAAAAAGGGACGGAGGGGCTCGCGGGGCTGCGGCCGCCAACGGGACGGCGTGCAAGGCGCTGCGTGTTGCGGGCGGGCCCGGCGTCGCGTCCCGGGCAAAGGCGTAGAGATGTGGGCGCCGCAGGAGCCTTCAGGCTGAGAGGGTGGACGCAACATGCGGGGAGCTGCGCGGGGGGCGGCGGGCGAAGACGCTCTGCTCTTGGGCGCCTCCTTTTTTTTTATTGTTTTGTGAGTTCCCGGCGGGGGAGGAGTTTGTTTGCGCTGCGGTTTGCTGCGGCGGATGCGCATAGCAACACTACCGCCAGCGCAGCGCAGCAGCGGCCCAGTGAGTGAAGGACGAGGTGTATATTTTAAGCGGCCGGGAAAACTGTTTCCGACGGGTGTTGGTGGGGGGTGTTGTTTGCGTGCAGCGTGCAGGGAGAACACTCCAACACGCACGCGGCGCGGAGGTGCCGCAATTCCGTTGATTTGGGCGGCGGCGTTGGGGGGAAGTGAGCAGCGGAGTGCGGCAGCGGACTGCGTTTCCACGGAAGTGCCTGAAGGGACTATTTTTTTAAAAATATATTTGTGTGTTTGTGTTTATTTGCCTGCGGGCACGGGGCACAGCCGGCGGGCTGCGCTGCTGCGGGGAGGAGGAGGCGCCGTGCCCCGTGGTGCCTCGCGGCAGCCGTACTGGTTTTTAGCTTCACGTTGTGTGTTTCTCCCAAATGCCGTGGCACCGCCAAAGACGCCTGCGTGGGGCGGGGGCGGAATGAATTTCTTTTCGTGTGGCTGCGGGGCGCTGCTGCGTGAACTTAGTGGGCCGCCGCCTTTTTCTTCCTTCCCTCTCCCTGCCCTCACCCTCTGCGCCGCACCCCACCGCGCTCCCCATTTCTCTCTCTGTTTCTTCTTCTTAGCTGCCCCGCAGCCCACTGGCTCTGCTGCGACGCTACTGCCACCACCACCACCGCTGTTTTTACTGATGGCGATGGCGGTGCGGCGCCGTGCGGTGTGCGGCCTGGCGCTCTTCGCGCTGCTCTGCGGCTGCTGCGCCCCCTCCGTCTGCGGGGTGAGTGCTGAGGAGGCTGCGGCTAATGTGAATGTGTCGGTGGAGGTGTCGTGCCCGAACGCTGCGAAAAAGTTGCGTTGGCGCGTTGCTGACAGGAGTAATTCTGGCTGGGAGGAGTGTCCGCAGGCAGTGAAGGGTGCGGAGAGCAGTGAAAGCGCTGCTTACGGTAATACCCTTTGCCTCTTGGCCGGATCGGTGTACATGTGGAAGTTCCCGGCGGGGAACTGCCGTGCATCCCAGCCAGCAGGGGGCACAGACGCTGTCGCGTTCAGGTTGGCCTGTACGGCGGCCGCAAACAGTGCGCTGCACAAGCTGTCGAAGGGCGAAACAGTTACCATCAGTCCAACTGAGGATCCACTGGGCGCTTCAGACGAGTGTGAGTACCCAAACTTCAGCCAACCCGCGGCTGAAGTGCAGTCTGGACCCCAACAACCTTCAGGACAACAGCAACCAGCAGGCACACAACAACAACCGGGAGCAGCACTGCCAGCAGCGTCATCTGCAGCACAAACTCCACAAGGAGTCCGTGCGGGGAATGGGGGCTCCATCACTGTTGGGGAGCAGCCAGGCTCTGTGGTGGGTTCCACCGGAAGTCAGGAACCATCGACAGAAGGTCGTCGGGAAACACCAACGCCATCGGCTGGCAATGCGGCTTCGTCCACACAGACGGCAGGGGAGAGGGCAGCAGATGGAACGAAGACGACGACCACCCGCAGTCCGAGTGATGGGAACGACATAAAAAGCAACGCGGGCGGCAGTGCCACCAACAGCAACACCACTCAGAAAGCCGTGGCAAATGCTGCGGATCGCAGTGCCACCTCCACTTCTTTTGTGTGTGCGCCTCTCATGCTGCTACTCACGGCCGCCCTTGCCTGCGCTGCTGCGTAGGTGGTGAGGGGCAAAGGTACACATCTACACACCCTGGTAGGGGTGACGCGTAAACTTTGTGCGCTCATTTTGCTTGTCGTCCCTGTGGGTCTATCCTTCTCTCCCTCCTGTGCTCTGAGGGATGGTTTCTTTTCTTTTTACTTGCTTC